GAATCTCAGCGAGTCAAGAACAGTCCCATCGGGATTCCTCCCAGGGCAGCTTTGACCCTGAAGTTTCTCCGTGAACTCAAGGAGAGATTGGTGACTACCAGCCGTGATAAGAGCATACAGGAGCGCCTGCAGAACGATGAGCTGATGACGCAGGACGGCGAATGGCCGTTCCTGGAGTGGAGCCCCACCGATCAGAAGATGATCGAGACGGTGGAAGACCCTCTCACCACGGCTCAAGTCGTTTCAGGCCTGGGGGACGCAATCACTAGAATTTCCTCAGATCCGGAACACATCAAGCTCTTCAAAACTTCGCGGCCATTGACCGAAGGCATGACGGGAGGTCCGGTCCGAATCCAGATCCAACTGTCAACCAGGGCGGCCACATCTGAACTGCAGGAAACCTTGCAGTCCTTAATTGGCAACACTGCATTTTCGCTCATAAACGCGGATTTTCAGCGACTGGGAACTCAGCCATCGCCGCTGGTTCGTCAGATTCGCGATTTGCTCTCCTGATCTTCTCCAGAGGATAAGATCTCTTCAGCTCTGCCCCACGAGTGGGCGGGACTGGAACCAAGAGCTCAGTAGAAGCAAATCTTACGAAGAGGAGTTGCTCCCACCTAGCTCCTTGCCCTAGCATGCTCATGCTCGTGAGGAGCTTGAAGCGTCTTCGACGAATGGCGAGGAGGCCCTCCCGCGGAGCACTGCACTCATGTTGGCACCGCTTGAATTGCTGCACATGTTCCTCCATGACGAAGCTTTCAGGCTCAAAAGCTAATCAATTAGACTGTGGTTCAACTCCTCGACCATGTATGATCAGACGCCAACTCGACTGGCCATGATGCTGCTCCCGACGATAGCAGCGGTGCACTTTCTGCACCAGAAGTCCCAAGGTGTGGAGATACTCCCCTGGGCCGTGCTCACAGAGCTGCTAGAGAGAGTGAAGGGGCTTGGGCTCATCACTAAGGATGAGATCCTGAACCTTGCCGTGGAGATACTCCCGGAAGGTGGGATTCGACAGGTGCTCACACACCTCCACTCCATCTCGGGCATCGATGAATGGGGACAAATCCGGCACAGACGACGAAGAGCCCTGGTCGAACAGGGGATGCAGTACCTCTCTCTGGTTCGCATCCACGCTGGAGACCTGATTTCCCCAGCAAGCCTCGGTTACCACCGGTACGACTTGGAGATAATGGAACGAGAATCCCATATCACGGGATACATCGCCAAATATCTCCCTGCTGAGTACCAAGAGGCCTATCAAGCTGATGTGCAGACGTTGAGGTCTCAGTTTTTTGCTGAAGACGGCAAACTTAACCTGGCCTCGGCGACGTGGGAGGTATCTTACAATCACCTCATGGCCGCCACTTCCTGAGCCAAGTGAGAAGAGGAGATGCTCCCTAAGCAAGAGCTCCTGTAACAAATAGAGGAGTTTCTCCCTCGTTAGGCGTAGAGCTGGCGGAGTTACTCCCCAGGGGTTTTTGAACTAGTAAAGAGTCACAGGTGGAGCTTCTCCCCTAGTTGGTGGAGCTTCTCCCCCAACGAGGGGTGTACAGCTGGTGGAGTCTCTCCCTAGGGGTTTTTAAAAGCTTTGAGTCGCTGCCTGCAATAATTCTGCCTGCACTGAGCCACACTGAGCCAACAGCAATCCACCATCCGTGATGCAGGTCTCCTCGTGGTGGCCTGGAGCTCAGTGGCCTAGGCCCAGCTGCCTGCTTAGAAGCCAGCTTGAGCCAACAACCGCAGCTTTCTCTCAAGACTCAGCATCATGTCCAGACCTGAGTCAACACAGGATCCCTCGTTTCAAGCGGAGTACGAGGAATTCTGCCAGCGACGGATACGTGAACAACTTCCGCATGTCACGTATCGCAATTTCCTGCGCCAGTGGAGGCGCTCCGCTCGTGCTCACGGCGAAAGCTATCCTGCATATAAAGGAGTCTCTAAAGGTACTGGTGGACAGGAAGAGCTGGGAAGCGGAAAGGGTGGAGTCACTCCCCCTCCTCCTCCTTCCAAGAAAAGAAGTACAGGGCAAAGCGAGGGTGGAGATACTCCCCCAGCAGCAAAGGCCAAGAGTGGAGATCCTCCCTCGGGGGACCCAATCACGGAAGCTGCGATCAAAGTTCTTCAGTCAGCTGGTTATACGCCCTTTCCCAGTCTGATTTCAGACTGTGATGGGAACATCACTGACCTGAACAATCACCGAATTATGGTGACAGTAACTCAGCAGCTGCGAGATGGCCTCAATCAGGCGGAACGACCCTCCCCGGAGATAGCCAATGCTCTCCTGGAGACCTTCCTGGCCTCTCGCCGGGGACTTGCCAATGAGCCTCTGCAGCCGAAGCTTGGATATCCCACAGCTGAGGAGAATGGGTGGTTTCGTTTTGAGTATTCTTCACCGAACATTCTTCCTGCAGGGGACAGCGAGGTTGCGTTCCACGGCACACACCTGGAATGTTTGCATGGGATACTGGCCACAGGCAGGCTACTACCTTCGACACCTGACCTCTCCGGCACGCGAAGCTTCGAGGCACGACCAGGTGTGTATCTCCACAAGATGTCAAACAGGCATCTTGCTGCCGGTTACAGTTGTCTGGTGAGGATAGGACCTCGGCACATATTCGTGCGGCCCATGTTTGAGGTGGAGGCTGCGCACTCTGGATCGCAAAAACGTGGTAAGAAAACAAACCAACTGATATACTCCTATGATGCAGTCAAAATCCGAGCGCTGCTACTGCAAATATCAACCAAGGAGACACTCACCTTAGGTGAGTACCTCCGAGAGTGGAGTGGCTTGTTGGAGATACCACTGAGACAAGCACGGGAATCCTTTTTGGCGTTGGGATACGAACTGCCTGGCGAAGCCTCGTCAAGTGGAGTCAAGGAAGGAGGAGTTGCTCCCCTTCCGGTTTGTGAGCAGGCGTCCAGCTCACAGGGTGGAGTTTCTCCCCCGACCATGGCGTCAGAGATTGACCACAGCTCAACAACGCCACGTAGCTCCACTATAGTGGCCTGGGAGGGCCAACCAGGCGATCTAGGGGACTATTGCACTGCCTCTACGAAGCCGGAGACCAGCTTCTCGTTCGAAGTCTCGAAGGCTCTAGCAGCTTCGCTCCGGCACGGACATAAACCCTACATCAGCGTCACTTCAGCTGGTTGGGCCAAATTAGAGGACGTCCTGAGATGGCCAAGAGTGCAGGCCCAGCACGCCACGGCAGGCGACCTCATGGAGGTCGTTCGGAGTAACGCAAAAGGCAGGTACGAGCTGGGCGATTGCCAAGGCCAGAAGTACATCAGGGCTCTGCAAGGACATTCTCGCTCTGATGTGGACTCCAATGAGGTGTTGGAGGAACTCACGGAGGAGATGCTCCCCAGAATGCTGTATCATGGCACATTCTGGTCCTTGTATGACTCCATACGCCAACGAGGCCTTCTGCCTCAGAACAAGATTTCCAAGGGCCGCGGCAAAGGCGGACGTGGCAGAGAGGGACGACAGCATGTTCACTTCGTCTCGGATCGGGACTATGGGAGACCTGGTGTTTCTGGATTCAGAGATAGCTCGTCGATGCTGGTAGCGGTCGATCCACGCAGAGCCATGCAGGTAGGGGTGCAATTTTTCCGTAGCAAGAACGGCGTCATTCTCACCCCTTCCGAAGTGCCCCCTTCTGTCATAGAGTACTACCAGAGCCTGAAATCAGGTACTAAGTACGGAGGCGACAACAGGCCGCTCTGATCGTGAGGACCCTCACCTAATGGTGGAGTCCCTCCCCACACTGATAATGCAGCTGCTCACGCAAAAATCTATGTTATGAGGCTGAAGGTCACTTCAATTTCATCACCAGACAGCAAGTATACCCCGAGGTCGCATGTGAAGCTCCGTGCGCAGTCGTGGGCCCGGATCTGCAAGTGAGTTGTCAGCCAAAAGTTTTCTGGAAGCTCTACTTGCCTTCTCGTACAGGCTCAACTCACCAGCTGTCTCGACTGTAGAAGCCATGCCTGAAACACCGAAGAAGAGTGGCAGCAGAGCGACCTCCCGAACCCCTCCTCCAGTGCGACGTCGGCCCCACCTATCCAGGTCGCCGCCAGCCAGTGACGCCATTCGGGAGTCCGACTCCGAAGACACAGCAGCCCCTAAAGCAGCCCCTAAAGCAGCTGGGCCTAAGGGCCCGCCGCCTCCGATGCCTGTTAACCTGTCAGGAAGTGGATCTAGCACAGATCGGACACCGGGCCCAGGTAAGGCACCTGGAGTGCCAGTGAAAGGTGGAGTCCCGGGAGGAGTTTCTCCCCTGGGACCACCGCCAAAGGCTGTGACCTCAACGATCTCCCATCCAGGGACAGGAGAGCTTCATGTCACCAGCACAAGTCCGGCAGGAGTTGCTCCGCCATCTACAAATAGCAACAACGGGCTGGAAATGGCGCCTGGCCTGCCTTTACTGAGTGTTTCATTGCCTCACCGCCTCTACTATAACATAGAGCTAGTGGTTCGTACCGAGCCTTCACAGCGAGGCTAGACACTCTCGCGAGACAGCAGTGTGCAAAATGGACGTCGCCAATCAGTCAGCGATACATTGCAAATCAGCCGGTTAACTACTTCATTAGTGCCAGAGTCTGCAGCTCGAGTCACTGAAGACACGTCCGATTCCGACTTCATTGCTTGCAGCCTTGAGGGGCGGAGCGTGTGCGAGTGCTGTGTTAAGGCACGGCTCGTCATGAAGTGACCGCGCAAGTAGCAAGCAGAGCAGCAGGTCGATCCCTCGCAAAGCGTGGACGTTAAGTTTCACCTCAGACAGTATCCTCCCGCTGCGTGTGAATGAAATGTGGTTGTGGTTGTGGTTGTGGTTGTGGTTGTTGCTGTTGCTGTTGCTGTTGCTGTTGCTGTTGCTGTTGCTGTTGCTGTTGCTGTTGCTGTTGCTGTTGCTGTTGCTGTTGCTGTTGCTGTTGCTGTTGTTGTTGTTGTTGTTGTTGTTGTTGTTGTTGTTGTTGTTGTTGTGTGGAAGACTGAGATCGACGGCCATGATTGGGACTTCACGGAGCTACCCCATCGTGGCACCTTGGCCTTCTGAGCTGGCCATGCTGCGAGCTGAAGCGATGTTTCCAGAAGTGGCATCTTCCTGTGCAGTTCCTGCGAGTGGCAGTCCTCAAGAAGCACGTGCAACATGTAGAGATCTGGCTTGCTTTCCGAAGGCCGATAGCATGAAGCTCCGAGCCCAGGTCGGTGGCCGTGTGATGAGCGGTTTGTTCTCAGGCCTGGAGAAGGGCACGGCTTCTATCAGGGCCAACATACCATATGTGTTCATGTTCATGACCTGCGTGGCTGGTGCAGGGACTACCGCCGTTGCGACGGCTTTCCTGGCCGACGTGACCACCAGCGAGGCCTCAACAAATCTTCTTGCAAGCCATGACAGCTGGTCTCCGCCGATTGTGTGAAATTGTTTGCAGGAGAGGACCTCCTCCGTCGCGACTCTGCACCCTTGATGACCGATGGTACATGTGCAGCTGTCGTGTACTGTACTTTCTTCATTGCCTCTTGATTTCGCGTCCGACGACCAAGGGAGGCCAGCGCCTCCCTGGGCCAGATCATCGGGCCGCTCGTGGGAGGCATGGGAAGTGTCCTTTGATGCTCGAGCCCTGTCGCACACACCGCAGGTGCCCTGAGCCACTCCGGTTTCGGAGTGACTTGCTACACGGCGGCGGCCCTCGGTGCTGTGAACCTGCTGCCACTTAGACTTGGAGCTTAGTCCCAGAATGCTGCGAATGCGGTGGAATGGCAGGATTATAGGTATTGGTTCAGGTTCAGGCGTCTAGAGAAAAGAATCAAGAACGTGGCATAATGCATCTTCAGCGCGAACAGCTGTTGTTCTGAGAGGGTGTCTAGTATGGTGTGCTCATCTGGACGTTATCTAGGGTGGGAGCTCTCGTCCTCTCAGACCCGGACCGCCCAAACCAGGCGGGAGGTTCGCTTTGCGCTGCTTTCCTGCCTTTCAACAGCAACTCCCCCTTGCAGGATCCTCCAAGCGGAGAACCCGCCAGCACGCCAGAGCAGCCGGCACTCTGGCTTGCACGGGAGTTGAACGTTGGCTGTATGGTGCTGCTGCAAAATCGGCCGAGCTGTTCGTAGACATCGCAAATCGTCTCTCAGGGCACGGGCCTTTCTTTACTGAGGCTGAGGTGTTTTGAATCCAACTGGCCAGGCGACCCAACTTCTCCCCATCCAAGATTCCGCCTTCATCCTCCCCAGCCAAGCCAGAAGTCTTCTGCAGAGTCAGAACGCATGTTTGTGACGCCCTTGCATATTCCGGGTCCTCCATGGCTTGCTAACTGGCCATGCTTTCCTCCTTCCTGTCTCAAGCCAAAGCGACTAGAAAGCCGGCGATCCAAAACCCACAGGATTTGAAGCTGTCTCACATTCACGTGCGCCCGTGTTGACTGTTTGCAAGAAAGTCTCGAGGCACGCATTCCGTGGTCGGCTGGGCTGCTGTATCTCGGCGTCGTTTTGTCGACGCTGGGCCCCGCAGCCTTTGAGAGTGTCGCGTGGTACTACGCCACGGATGCTCGGCCAACTTGCAGGCGTGCACCAGATTTTGCCACACCCAGCAACTTCAGATGCCAAGGACACCTACTTTGCCGGGGATCTCGTCAGGAGTGAAGACTTCTACAGCAAGCTATTGAGCTGTGCTGGAGTCACCACGTTCGTGACGACGGCCGTTCAGCAGCAGTACGAGACTGTCAGGAATTCTCCACAAAGCACCTGTGTGCCGTGTTTCTTCTCCCACAAAGCTCTCTTTGAATTCCGCCAGCCTGTCCACACGTTGGCGCTTGCACTGCCCTCCCTCCGTTAATCCCCAACCTGCTAGGTCTAGGTCCTCGCTGCATCTCGCTGCGCGTACCCAGGTCTGCATCATGAAGCCCATCGACTGCGTCAAGAGGATGGGTGGCGAGAAGCGCGCGGTTACCGCGGGTTCGTTGATCGGTGCAGTGGGATGCATGGGCAGCTCGATAGAAGGGAAGGTCTTCCAGCACAGGCAGTGGCTCGTAAATTTACATGTCTGCCCCACTCAGGAATGTCGATGGCTCCGACTCCATGCACCTTCGCGGTGATGGCCCCCTGTCCGATTGTTCGCTCTCTTAGCCAGTCGTCTTACCGCCGCTTGCTGAATGAGATGTGAATCCGAACCCATGTTGTTCCTGCCTGTTGGAAGTTCTCGAAACGGAGGCTGTCCTGTCGGTGGCAGGCGGTGTCCTTGCAGCACCAATACCATTGCATTGACGAGCTGTTTCACCACTGTTTTCCGTTGAGATGCGAAGATGGCGTGCTCTTGTTTACCTCCAGTCCACCTGAACATGCGCGCTGTCTCAGAGCATGGCGCTTGTGCAGCTCCAACAGAATAAATCCCAAGGCAGCTTAGTGAAACCCACGCTCTCGTCGATGCTGACGATGATCTGCCCGGAGCACACCGTTGGCCGCGCCGTCATCTACGAGAAGGCCGGGAAGTGGTGTGTGCGAGATGAGGTTTGTCGCAGGATGTCGCAGGCCTGATTCGTGACCATAGGCAGTCAAAGCCGTGGCGCGGACCGGCGCGCCGCTGGTCTTCGGCCGCTTGTACGAGAGGGTCTCTTGGCCGTACGCATCCCTGTGGATGTGCCTTTATGCGTTCCTTGACTGCGCGTCGTACGCCCTGTGTGGCCGAACGATGCCGAGCTGAGCCTGTTGAGCCTTCCCCCCTGGCCCGATGAATCTTACGGTATATCCAGAATGTGCTTGGACAATCTTGGACAGCTGAGTACGATCCGCGCGTGAGCTTCTACGTGGCTGGGCTCAACTATACTTTCAACTGGGGTCCTAGAAAGCTATAGTGGGCCGCCTCGCTGTGTTGCCGGGCACACGCAGCAGGTGGTACTGCATCTTCACAGCCTTGACTTCTCAGATGCTAGTGCTCTGTCAGTGTTGGCTTCATGCTGAAGAACCTGCCGCGCATACTGATTCTGGATGATTCTGGTAGGTCAACGCCGCGACCAACATCCTCCTGGTCCTGCTGGCGCAGTGGGTGTTTCCCAGCCCGCCGAGAAAAAAAACGCTCGCCGGCGAAGCCGTAGAAGCAGACGCTGACGCCGCTGACGGGGCCGCGGCAAACTCCGACTCGGAGGCGAGGCCGTACAGTGCGAGTGCTCGGCACAGGGACTTTTGTGACTCGTAGAGCAGGTCGTTGAGGCGCTGGAAGACTTGGAGAGGGGGAAGCCCGACGAGCGCCTCGGCGTGGTCACGCAGCGTAGACGCAGCGGGTGAAGCAGCGGAGTTGACTTCTCTTTCAGGACTTCTGCTCCGGCCCTCGACGGGAGCGACCAGCAAACGGAATTTTCGGAAGCGGACAGCCGAGACATGGGGAGCACGCAGAGCGATGAGGAGAGCAGTCCCAAGCAGTTGGCTGACTTCAGTGATTAGATCACAAGAACAGAAGCAGCCGCTTCTAGCCTCTGCGCAGGGTCTGCTCTCGTGCAACGTCGATTTTAGGGTCGCTGAGCCTGTCACAGCGGCAGGCGATGCGACTCCGAATTCACAAAAAGGCAGTATCTGCCTAGAATAACATTTCTTCTTTAGTTTTAGGAAAGGCAGAATGGCTCCAGGGCGGGCTGAGACCACCTCAGCCGGGCATAGCTGCGCCAGCCTCTCCGATCGCCAGGGGCGTGCTGTTACGCACAGCTGCAGGCACACTCCCTGGTTGTTATGCGTTTCATGCAGGGTGTTTCTCCCACAAGCGGCTCTTCCCTGCATTATTAATTTTAACGAATACCTTACGAGGTGTGGAGATCAGCATCTTCAAGACAAGCTCCACATTGATCAGGCTTTGCAATGAGAGTCCTAAGAAGACGCTCAGTGCTTTTTAGGACGAGAAGTCCCCATGCCCAAACACTGCGTCATGTCACGCCCTGCACGCTGTGGCTTCCAGCAATGGCTCGGGAAGGTTTGGCTGATTCGTCCGAGGTCTTCGCACGGTGCCGCCTGGACTGGAGAGCTGGAGCCTCAGTGCAGTGGCGCAGTTCAACAGGCGCAAGGTGGCACGTGGAGTCCCACAGGACATGCCAGCCGTTGGCAGCCATAGAGTTCTGGGAGAGCGGTGCCGGAGCTGTGCACTCAGACCAGCCGTTACTCTCAAACATGTGCAGAAAGCGTACCGAAGTTCATGCTTTGCTAACGTTTCTGGCTCACAGGATGAATGAAGCCTTTTTTGCAAGACGGTAAGAAGGCTCCTGCTCCAAAGGATTTCATGGGGTCGCGATGTTACGCATAGCTGCAGGCAGCCTTCCTAAGAAAGAAGGTTCAGTGCTTTTTATCGTCTTGAAACGTGCGCGCCGTGGCTTCCAGCAGTGGCTCGGCATGGCTTGGCTATGCTTCATCCGAGGTTCGTCCAAGACACGCTCTATTGGAGAGCTGGAGCCTCGGGGCAGTGGCGCAGTTCAACAGGCGCAAGATGGCATGTGGAGTGCCGCAGGAGATGCCAGCCTTTGCCGATGCCCCAGCTGCGCGCTCAGACCAGCCGTCGTCCCTGAAAGCGTGGTGCAGCAACATTGCAAGACCCACGCGACTGGTTTAAAGGGCAAGTCTATCAGGCAGCATCGTCGCGAAGTGGAATGCTGCGGCCTGAATCCCTCCATGCGTTGGCAGGTACTGTTCGCGGGCATCGGCAGAGCAAGGAACCCAGACTCGGGATGACTCGAGCATTCTGTTCCTTTTGGCTCTTTTGCCGTGCAAGTGTCGCTGCACAGTATTTATTGCAATGGAGTCTTGACACATTCTGTCCTTGTCCGTCCCGCATTGGCATCAAAAGCATGAAAATCAAGCACCGTTGGTCAGTACCACGTTGTGACAAAACTAAGCGCTGCAGGTATTGGTTGGCAGAGTAGGTGACACGTATCTCAAGCCAGATCTCCATCTTTCCATGTTTCATCTCTTCCGCAATGTCTCGAGGGCGACGGTGCTTCCAGGATGAAGGATGTAAATCAGGTACCGAGCTCAGCCAACTGTATCACTCTTGCATTTGCTGGTCATTGCGGGGAGTTCGTACGGTTTTGACCCAGAGACATGTAAGCGGTCTTCCCCGTTAAGCCTGGACTGCCAATGCTTGCATGCAGAAAGGGATGTGCTTGTGGGCAGCAGAATACAAGCATCGGCATCAGTTGTTCCGTACGCCATCGTACGCCGCTTTGCATCCAATTTGGTTGTTGCGTAGGCGTAGGTTTACCAACAGCATGCACCAGCTGTACCATAAGCTACTGGAAGGTTTGGTGACTGATCACCGAAATTGAAATCTAGCGGCCCACCGTCTGCGACAGATTTTGCTGTGGTTGCTTTGAGTTAGCTGCAAGGTGCTGCTGCAATGATGTGTAGCTTGGGTCCGATGCGGATCAGCATGTCCTCTGGACGTTGTGTCCCAGCATGCATCCTTACTGTCCAGTTCAGCCTGTAGTTTGGAGTTTCTTGAAGACGAATATGACAAGCTCTGAGGACAGAAGCTGCACGGGCGTCGCAGGGTACGCGTTCGTTGAGCCGTCGAGCATGATAATGGCTTGTGCATGAGCTTGGTTGGTCGGTGCACCAGCTTTCAAGCCAAACGCTTCACAACTGACAGCACGTCTGAAATGTGGATCTCTTGAGATCATGTTTGCTTCGACCTTGTTGTTCAGCCCGCTTGGACCCCACCTTGCGATGGTAATTATGTGTCAAGGGCTATGATTCCGAAACCTCGGTGGTGTCACCGGATGCCTCGCATCCACGCATTGGGCGGTCTGCAATCTGCAGAATTCTGCAGACTCATACCATTGGGTGACCGATGGTGAGAAACATCGGAAGGCCCGCCCGCAGCAAGATGCTGGGCAGTCGTGAACATGCTGGTTGAGCCCCAGTGTGTACAGCTGGTGACGATAACGACGAGTCCTTCAGGCATAGAATGGTGGTGCCCGCATGGGAACGTCCGTCAGGTCCTATTGGAGCAAGGTCCCAAGTTCGGTCTTGCAGCGGTTCGCTCATCAAGCAGGACTTGCGGCGGCGAAAATGTTCGCGAACCGCCACCATTGCAGTCAGTCGGCAGCTGTTTCAGCAGTTTTCACGGGGCCTGTGCTGCAGTAAAGTGGTCTGCGACTTCGCGATCACTAGGTCGGCAGGTCCAGCTATACTGACACCCCTTCTCGAGTCTTGAGGGCCGTCTCAGTCACATGTAAGTATGCAGTGGCTCAGGCCGCATGCATAGCATGCAAAGCTGTGTGGCTCGCCAGCCCTGTAGCTCTTGTGAGTTTTAGACAAGCAGGGCAATGGCCATTGCCCCTTTTTCTGCTCCTTTTGGCTATTCTGGCGGGACGCTGCATCCAAAACGAGCCAGGAGCGAGCCTGTCAAGTCTATTCCAGGTGTTGACTGGGATCAGCAGCTGGAAAAGGTGCAGGATCTGCTGAAAGACTCCAAGGTGACAGGCGTGCAGACAGAAACAGGCGACAGGGCTTTAAACAAATACACGGTCGAACAGGTGCCGGGGCGAGCGAGAAGTAACGAGAAGTTTGGACCGACAGAAATGCTTAAATTCGCAGTGCAGTCTCTCTTATTTGCGATCAGCCCGGTGGCAGTCTCTGCTGGCATCGTCCTCTACATCACCGTGCTTTGCAAAGAGCAGAGAGAGCTTTTCGATGAGAAATTCAAGAGAACAAGTGATGCGGAAGCGCTGGCGCAGCAGGCCCATCTCTGGAGCTCGAGATTGCTGAATCCGGAAAACCAGAATGATTGCAAAATTCTGGCCCACAAGCAAAAGGTTGTCGATCAGATGCAGGCCGACAGGAAGAATGCTCAGACAAACGGGAAGCAGAAGCAGAAAGCCAAGACCAAGAAGGAGGTGAACAATGCGCCGAAGCTCTATATTCATTGGTGGTACAATCGCGAGACTGGCGAGACGGAAGCCTGGGTTGCCGGGCCCCAGCCGCACATATTTTTGAGCCAGATGGACATGAACAGAAACAGCTTGGACTTCAAGCTCTTGTCCGCAGTGCTGTTCCTTTGCAGCCCGTTCCAGCTTCAGAATCATTGCATTGTCACCGACACAAAGCTGGAAGCCAATGCGAAAGTCAAGGAATTCTCCGACGAACGCAACACAACGTGGAAGTTCGATGTCGATTCCATGAAATTCCAAGATATCACAGCTGCCAAGAGACCCCCGTTTGTTTTTCTCGCAACGCCTGAGCACTCGCCTTTGGCCCAACCGATGAAGGTGAAGTTTGCCGATGCCGTTGCTGTCCCAGCCGTGTGGAGCTTGGCTGGAGCAGCCGGTCTACCTGGAGCTGGGCCGGGGTGCACGAGTCCTGATGCGGAGCCTCTGCAGGCAGCGCTGGAAAGCGCCAGCCCCGTGTGTTCTGAGGCAGCTGGTTCTAGCAGGGACTTGCTCCCAACAGCGGGCGAGAACAAGGTCCAGATACGCGCAAAGATTGAGGGGCGTACCTATCCGCTGAGCTTCCAGCGAGGCCAAGAGGTGAAGGACGCCAACCTCAAACTGCTCGAAAGCACGCTGCAGGAGACGGGAGGTTATTGGTGGAATGAGGCTAGCGACCTGTCGTTCGTGAAGGACAATTTGAAGGAGATCATGGACCAGGCCGAAGCATCCCGCGAGACGCCTTATGTGGTGATATGGAAGCCGGGCAGGAAACGGCGCAGTGACGCTGGCTGCTTTGGAGATGTTTGGAGGTGTCTAGTGTCAAGGCTCCATTGCATCCACCCCTCAGGTCTCACACCACGGATATCGAGCACCTAGCCTTCAAAACCTTGTCGCCGTAATTCGTTACAGGTCGTTGTGGGGCTCCGGCCCTTGTCCTGAAGAGTTGTTCGCATGTCTGTGGGTTCCATGTGCAGTGGTGCAGAGCTGCCACGTGGGCCGTTTGCTGAACGACCTTCTACCTTGTAACACTATGTATAGTCCGGTTTGCGGGCACGAGAGCCGCAGGACAGAGCGACTGCTTCGTTGGACGCACCTAACTACATGCGTAGTTTCAAGAAGCTGCAGTCATCGCAAAGACTGGACAGCCGCAGCTCGCGAAATATCGTGTACAGAGCGTCATCGGCCAAAATCTCTGCTACCTTTGTCAAGTCAGCTCAATGACACCGGGAACCTTTTTGCACCCTCATGTTCAGGTTGCTTCCGGTAGCAGTAGCATCAATGCGTCAAGAGCTCGCAGTGAGCTGCGCCGAGGAGCAACAGCTCGAGGACTGTGCGCAGGCTTGGGATCCGATAGACTCCTGGTCGTCGGGTGAAGCCTCAGAGAGTTGTCATTGCCAACGACATCGGTTGTGCTGATTCAGGGTCATCGCTAAAGCCTTTTTGAGCTCCTTAGGAAATCTGCGGAGGCTTGCTCTCCGTTTGTTTTTTTTGAATTTTAAGGAAGCCATCGCAGCTTTCGGGCATGTCAGGCCACGTGCCTGACACTGGGTTGCCAGCCATAGTTGGTGTGCATGTGCAGTCCATGATCACCGGTAGAGCTTTCTTTCGAGACATAACCGCCATAGCCATGCTGGAGTGAATCGCTTCGGTGCAGGAGTGCTGGTGGACTGTCGACCGAATTCCATTGCCGTTACTTCGCCCAGAAGCGCAACTGCTCGTTCCAGGACCAAAAGGATTGCCTGTCTTAAAAGCGCGGTCGATTTCGCAGCTCAAAATGGGTATAAGTTCAACTGCCAACTGCAGCGTTCGAGCTAGACAGAGGCGGCCAAAGCACAATGACAACCGCAGCCAAGAGCAAAGTCACACGAACGGTAGGGATTGGTCTCCTCGGGCCATGCATGTTGAAGGGGTTCCCTTAATTCGTTCCCTTACATAAACCCCCTATATATACCTTGTACCCTATACACCTAAGTAGCCCTTAAATAACCCCTAAAGAACCACTAAGGTCCCTGAAAAGGGTCCCGGCTTTAGTCTCTTGACATGTCGTGTCAGAAGATCTGCCAACGCCAATGCACTGTGCGCTTGATGGGCCAAGGGGTATCATGAAGATCTTTCTGTGGCAGCCTCGGCCAGTCCTGCTGCCTCTGAGCATCGTTCGTTGCTTCCGCGAGCGATCGCACGGTGAAGCACCACACGTGTGGAGGCCCCGTCTTTGCAGCTCTTGGCCGTGCAATGTGGAAAGATCTGTCCAGGTCAGGTCCACTGCCGTTAACCATCGATTGGCACGCCTGTCTGGACAACGTGCGAAATAGATGATGAAATGCGAGATTTGCAACTCCTGCAAATGCCCATTGAAAAACACAAATTCTTGGGTACAAAAAAGAAGGCCAGCACAATTCATGGGCGAACCGAACCGCTTGCGCAAGAAGAACAGTTACTGCCAAGAGGGAGGCCGACAAAAAACGAGAGACTTTCCTTGTTCTCGGGTTCTTCTTTTAGGCGTTTAACATTTACATTACCATAGTTCAGGAAACCATGTTCTTTATCATAGATTGAGATTCTGGTAGCTCAAATACAACTCCTGAACAAGAACCCAGTGTCTTCCCCTTCACGTACTATTCTGATGCAGAAGAAGCTGAAGTGTCTCATCTTGGGCAGTTGGCTCCCAAAGGTTCCCAATTACGTTTAGGAGCTTAGGGGGATAGAAGTGCAGCTACTGGTGTGGGTAATGTGGATATGTAGTGCTGCGAATCCCGCGCGTGACTTCTGAGTTCAGAATCAACCATCGCTAGACTAGTGATTTCGTGCAAACCACCTGGGCCTGCCTGCGGATAGTGCAGGAACCACCATTCTTGCCTCCGACGTTTGGCATACCGGACGGCGATCTCCCGGATGATTTGCCCGTGGGCTATGAGATGCGGGAGGCTCATCATGCTTGCCTAGGTCGGTGTCGGCCAGGTTTGCGAATTGCGAAGTGGCATAATTTTATGAACAAAGGGGTGGCAGCAGTCGCACGACGGCGGTTAACAAATTGGAATCTCCTGCAGGTTTGCAGGCACTTCTAAGATTGGACTCCTTACAAGGACCCCCCGCCGAACCGCCGCAACAAGGGACCCTAATTTGAATAAGCCCCTGTATGACAGGGCTTTTTTCTTGGAGTCGTAGGACAATTTGTTCTGGTTTACTTTTGACAATGATGCATAGATACAATTTAATTTTAAAACTATAATTACAACTACTACTTATTGAGTTGGTAACTGGCGGAGAAACAGGGTTTGCTGACAGGTAAATGCTGACCCTGAGCAACGTGATCTTCAGCTCTTCGCTACACCTCTCCCTGGGTGCCTCATGTGAGTGGCGAAACGCCAAGGACTTCTGCCATGTTCTATGTTCAATTACATGATGTTGAAACGAACATGTGTCATCAAGTGTGATGGAATGTTGCTTCGCCGCAGTTAGGACATGGATGTTCGAAAGGCAGACATTCAGCTGTTTTTTGGGAGGAGTACTTGGAGTGCTTAACCTATCTTGACCTTGCAGTGTGACTGTTGGCTTTCAAAATACGTCGCCCTGCGGTTTGGGCTGAGCACCGCGTAGTTCATCAACAATACAACAGCCCTACAACCTATCCAAGAACCTGCCAAATCATCTAGCTGAATGGCAAGGACATGCAACATGCAGGTCATGCAGAGAGAACGGCTCGCAGAAACAGAATGAAGCAAAGGAGCACCTCTCCCTCACGAAGTTGTTTGAAGTTCCGAAAGATAAGTTTGAAAACAGAACTTGCTCAGGCCTTTTGGGGGGCATGCCCCGTGTTTCTTCAGATCCCACTTCTGCTTCGTATGATATGCAGGTTCGACCCTCGTTGCCACTGCAGATGGTGGAGTCATGGAACCCACGTGGTTCCAACGTTTCCAACCAGCTGAGAAGTGGCCTGGTGGCATGAGGCTGTCAGACAGGTCTGCTATGGGTTTCCCACTGCTGCGGAAGGCATGTCAAGACACGTCAAGACATACAGAATCAGACACACCTACCGTGACATGGCACTGCGAAGCAGCTGTCAGGCCGCCACGGCCTCGCTGGGGAGAGAAAGCTGGCGAGCCTCGGTTGTCGACACCAGCGCCAGGTGGGGAATGGGGATTGGATAGAAAATGGATGAGGGTTGCAAAAGAATGGGGGGGCTACATTGAACCACATTGCAATCCGGAGATCTTGCGCCCTGGTTTTCGGACCATGATAGATCATGTGGTTCCATAAGCAGTGCCCTAAGCGCGTGATTTCCCAATTAAGCAGGACCATTTCGGGATGGTTTGGGGTACCACTGTGGCCATGGATAACACCAGGATGGTAACCCTTGGATTTGTCGTTTTTCAGAGTCTTTCCCACTCCGCACTCCTTTGCATCATCCATATTATTGAGGTGTAGCTGATATTGTTACTTTGAGGCCCTTCCTGTTGCAGTGCCATTAAATCCTTTGGTGGGAACACAAGAAGGATGAGAAGTTCAGGATGATGAAGGATGCAGAATGGAAGAAGGTTGCAGGCCATGTTTCCAGCGACAGGTGGCTGCGCTGCCTCTCCAGATTGGCAGGCTGAAAATGACAAGTCGAAGGCCCCTGGCTTTCCCCTTGTTTGTGAATTTCATTCGAGCTACGCCTCAAGCAATGCCTTGTGAGCTCAGATCCATTCCATGTGTCAGCTCAAGCCATTGTCAGCTTCACCTCAAGTTGCTGGCTGACCAGCCATGGCGCCTTCGAAAATGCATGGCTCGGGTACAGCGGGAGTGCTGTACAAGAAAATACTTTCTGGGACGAGGGTGGTCTGGTTTTCTTCTTTTGATAGCGGCTGGTTTTATGGGAATATTTAATCTGGGATGGGTCAGGGTAGTCTGGTTTTCTTAAGGCCGTTTTCTTATATATGGTCAGGCGTCTGGCGTTCCCAGCCCCCCCCCCCCCCCCCCCCTTGGTATGGTCTGCTAGGGTGGGTGGGGGGGGTGGCGGGTGCGGACAGGATGGTGGGATGGTGCTGGCGGCCAGGGCTCACACGCAAGCCCTTCGCAAGCAAGCCGTAAACCCTATAACGCAGCGCGTGCCCTTGTTTTGAGTAACCTTAAGTTGCACTTCCAACCCTACACCCAACCCTAAACCCCACCTAACTGCAGGCTCTCAGCCTGAAAGCAGAACATACACCGCAAGTCCTCCCTAAGCCCTTGTCGACTCGAAGCGTTATATCTTGTAACCGTAAACCCAACACTCAAAAGCTTAAGCTAAACCCTAAACCCCAAAACCCCACAACCACCCCACAGGGGGAAGAGGGACCCCACACCCCACACCACAGGGGAGGGGGGGTCCCACCCTATATCCGGACCATTGACCTTTGGGGGGGGAGGGGGGGGGGCCGCGGAGCGCGTGACCATATATAGCTATGTCCAGGGCCCGTTCCAGAACCCACTCAAATAAGAAAACGAGACTCTGGCATTTTCTTATTCTCCTTCGTTCCAGAACCCAGCTAAAGACCAGGAGGATGCCTACGATCCCTGAAAGCTGTGCTTGGAAGCCTTGGAGGGGAAACTTCAGCAGGGTCAAGGCACGAAGTGCCTAGGACACCCCAAGTACTAGGGCTAGGATGTTGGGCAAAGGCCCCTGATGTATGGAATCCCTCATACAGCACAGGCCTAGTTTACGCGCACTAGTATGACAGAACGAAATAAGAAAATGAGACTCGCGGACGAGGGTACCCTGGTTTTCTTATTTTAACAGTGCTTGGTATATATAGAACCCTATCAATCGCAAAATCCAGAGTCTCATTTTCTTAGTCCAATGTTTTCTTAAATAGTGCTGTTGCTGTACTGGTTCCGGCAATGCAGCGGGCGGATGCTGGGAAGAGCGCAAGGGAACGTACTGCTTGGATCGCAGCGGAGACAACCAAAGTGGATCTCTTTCGCTGGAAGCGTGTCAAAAGCGGTGCCGATCATCGTCCCGTGCGGCCATCACCTACTACCCTGGGCACGAGCATCGCGCATGCTACGTAGCAGCCACACATTGCGCTCCTAACACTTCCATTGCTGGAGGCAACTTGTACGTCAACTACTGTGACATTCAAAACTGCCCGGTCATTGTTTCCTCGAATGGAGGCGCAAGTACCTCTCAACCATGGTTTTGTGGTCTATATTCGAGGATAGACGATAGCCTGCACAAGCGGCCCATATACCAGGACTCTACCGGATTCCCATTGTTCCTGTTCTATTCAAAACAGGTCAGAGGATGGGCCATAAAATACATGTTTTCCGACCCCGACTATTCCTGGCAGGATCTTGAACTTTACGGTGCACGCGAGTTTGCTTCGTGCCCTCAGCACACAACTGGTGTTTTCGAATGGCACCATTATTTCGGATGGAGGCGGGGAGACATCAGCATGAAGGTCACCACCACCACCACCACCACCACCACCACCACCACCACCACCACCACCACCACCACCACCACAACTACCCACCCTACCCCCAAAGCGGAAATTGCTGCTGAGTGGATAGAGAGCCATGAAGTTACCCTCTTGATGTGCTCTATCATGCTCCCCTTCTTTGTGCCGCTTTTTGGGTATGCATTGCGCAAGTGCTGTCGTATGATTCGGGAATGCGGTGAAATCGGCGCACAGGACGCCATGCACCAAACCCTGGCAGAGATCAAGGAACTTGTGGAGTCACCCGAACAGCAGGAGGAGCAGGAGTTCCATGTGATCAACCCGCAGACTTTGAAGAGTTTGGATCCCTTGGTCAAGGAAAAATTGCAGAGAAGCAGAAACTCTTTCACTATTACAGAGAAAGGTGTGGTGAGGAACTCTGCCTGTGCCGAGCGATTTCACTCTACTCCAATATCTTCATGCGGCTCTTTCTCTCCTACATCTTTTTTGTGAATGTGTCCGGCGTCCGAACGCTGCTTGACGAAGAGGGTCCGACGGTAGGAAGCGATCTCTACTGAGTGGCGGTTGCATTTGCTTCGATTTGTTATCTCTTGGTCCTTGTTGAGTCCTGCATGTCACGGGAGACGGACTATCTGCGAAATATGGGCAACATGCAACAGACGAAGACAGCCATTGACCAGATGGTAGCTCTCGAGCCGAAGCTCAGCATGACCGCTGTTGCGTGGCACGGTGAGCAGCGAACACGCCAAGTTTGCAGAACAGATCAACAAGGCAACGCTTTCTACGTGATGGAGACACACATGGAAGCAGTGGTTAGTGCACATATTTGCGAGTGCATTCCCATCAGATACTGGCGTGACATTTCTGCCGATGATGTCCTTCTTGGCGTGGCCGATGAGGGCATCACCACACTTTTCGTTGAGAGTCTCATTTGTGCAGGGGACGTTCAGTGTTCGGAGGTGATCGACAGAACTTACGGCCAATTCAAAGACGATTATCGGCACAAAGACGTATGTGTCGACTTTGACCTGAGCTACTAGTACCAGGTTCCCGGCCTTCAAAAAAGGCTGACCATTTGCCGAAAGCCTTCACCACCTTGGTGGGCCAACCTAACCATCTTCTATTTCTCATCTGTGGTTGGTATGACCTGGATCTATCGGCTTAAGTTAAAGATGTCGGCATCTACAAGCTTGGTCCTGGTGAAGCAAGTCTTTGTAGCTGAAGATGATGCAGCTCAAATGCAAGCGGCAAGAGAATTGCCATTGCCCAGCGAAAACAGGTGACAGTTTTTCGAGATGATGGCTTGTCAGACCCGCCGGAAAGGCTCAGCACAGCAGCTAGGGCAGCTAGGGTCACAAATTTCGGGCCAGTGGCTATGTGGGCCATGATGATGTGTTCGTACAGTGTGAGTTCATCTAGTAGCATGTTGGAGACAGTTGTGCAGAATGCTGTTCTCCAACTTGAGCAGCGCCGTGCCCATGGCGAAATGGCACAAAAATGAGCTGTAGTCTATGGACCGAATGAACCGCAGCTGATGCAGATCTTCGTGCTGGCACACCTGCGAGCGTTTGACATTGCACATCTCTTTATCATCTGTCCACATCCGTGGCAAGAACAGTCCTGTGCTTTATTGCTTCGCTCATGCTCATACGCTTCTTCTCTTTTCCATCAATATTTACTGTAAGATGACATCTAAATACATATGACTGGTTCTTCGCAGGAGCAGCTACCTCTGCCAAGACAGTTGACCCGACTCTTGCTGTGGATGGAAGTTGTGATCCACCATCGGTTTCTGGTGTCAGGTCAGTGAAGATCCTCACAGAAAGGTTGCTGATGGAATCTATGACCTTTGTCTGCACCTTAGCCAGCTGAGCAAAGTCAGTGCTACAAGGCCATAGGCGCCATAGGCCATAGATTCCACCAGCCCTAGCTGCTGCAACACTGTGGAATCCCGGTGCAGTCGCGGCCTGCTGGACCCAAGACGATCTAAGGACATTGAAGACATGATGGACACTTCGATCCGTCTTCGAGAGTTCTTTCTGTGAACAGGCATCTCAGCATGGCATCCCAGCTAGACGAAATATCAATCTGAAAACATGGTTTAGGTTTTTAATGCGGGTTCGGGGTTCAGAGCTTGCCTGAGGTTCCGGAAACAGCATGCGGCTGCTGGGCGAGCGGTTCGAGTGCTCGTGCGAAAATTTCTGTGCTCACAATCGCTTGGGTTTCGTTCGGATTCAACTTCAGGGTGCAGAGTTTTTGATCCGGCACAGAGTGGTTAAGGCTCTGGTATGAAAGCGTTTTGGGTGCCGAGAGTTGGGCAATCTGTTGATGGAGTTTAATGCAAAGCTGTGCCCGGAGGTCACTATGGTCTGACCCCGAGTGTGAACCTCGACGTCTGAATCCTACCCGTTACCCACCTCCACATCCCTACACCCTAAAGCCTTAATCCCAAGTCACGCCGCGATGACACATCCCTCGATTCGAAGGCCAGTTTGGTGTGAAGTGCGTAGCACGTTGTTCATGCTGGTGAAGGTACCCCGAGAACATCTTTGTCTTTGGTTCTTGGCAGCTGAGTTATTCTCTGCACGCACTCTACTGCCTCGTTACATTGGCCTCTGGCCGTTGTGTGGTCCTGAAAAAGGTCTTGTCTTGCAATGATGTATCGTGCCTGTCATCGCTCGGTGAAAACGAGTAGAAATCGCTGGCATTTCTGTGGGGGGAAAGAACTGACATTTCCCATGGCTACTGCCGAGAATCCTCCCGCCCCATTCTTTAGTTCTCGAGCGGATGGTTGCCGGCGGGCCGAAACCCAGAATGGTACTTCATGGAAGCCCTCACATGGAGCTTCGTGTTTCATTCCATATGTCTTTGCAGTGGCTCAGAGCGCCTGACCATGAACGGCCTCAATCTTGCCCTAAGCCCTTAAACCCCACACAGAAACCCATGCCTCTTATCGAGTTGGAGCATATCAAAGACCTTGAAAGCAGAGCGTCCTGAATCTAAACACTTCGATGCTGGAAACTCTGTCGAGCTCTCATCGGAATCACCGGAAGTTGAAACCAGGTTTAGGGTTTCTTAACCCCGAAATGCTGAACCACTAACCCTAGACTCAGCGACAAAAAGCGAAGCTTCCACTCAAACGAGTCGAACCCCGGGCGCCATGGCGGATCGTACCGCTGCTCTTCAGGCCAGTTCATGATCCGAGCTGGGAGGCTATCAACTATGATTATCATAACTGAGTGTTAGTACAAGTATCACAGGTATGATTCCCATGATTAGCATTATGGCCCATTATGGCTACCCCTCGCTGCACAAAGTCCTTGTCGTCGTAGCAGTAGCAGGGGGGCAGTAGCAGTAGCAGTAGCAGTAGCAGTAGCAGTAGCAGCAGTAGCAGTAGCAGTAGCAGTAGCAGAAGCAGTAGCAGTAGCAGTAGCAGTAGCAGTAGCAGTAGCAGTAGCAGTAGCAGTAGTAGTAGTAGTAGTAGTAGTAGTAGTAGTAGTAGTAGTAGTAGTAGTAGTAGTAGTAGTAATAGCAGCAGTAGTCGTAGCAGTGGTAGTAGTAGCAGTGCTAGTAGTAGTAAGGAGTAGTAGTAGTAGTAGTAGTAGTAGTAGTAGTAGTAGTAGTAGTAGTAGTAGTAGTAGTAGTAGTAGTAGTAGTAGTAGTAGTAGTAGTAGTAGTAAGTAGCAGTAGCACTAGCACTAGCACTAGCAGTAGCAGTAGCAGTAGCAGTAGCAGTAGCAGTAGTAGTAGCAGTAGCAGTAGCAGGAGTAGTAGTAGTAGTAGTAGTAGTAGTAGCAGCTGTATCAGCAGTGGCAGCGGGTTTAAGGTTTGGGAGTTTCGGAATTCGGGCTTGTGGTTGGATTTTCGAGTTGAGGTCTTAACTTGATCCACAATGCATTGGGAGCAGTGAGCGTGCAGGTGGTCAAATTTGGATTAATGTTTTCGACTGCCATTGTGGGTGACTTAGACTGCATCTGCAAGTATCGCGGCTGCACTTCGGTGCCTTCCCAGAGATCCCAATACCCCTTAATTAAGTAATATACCCGAAACCGTAAAATTAAGGCCCCCACAACGCAAGGTTTCTTTCCGTAATCGAAAGGTATTGGGATCTCTGAGTTCTCACTGTCTTGTTTATTTCAGGCCTTTGGTTGAAGTTTCGAGGGTTTCGGGCCGTTCCTGGGCCCGCGCTTTGAAACGATAGGGCACCTTTGACGCATTGAGGCCTTCATGCCCGGATAAGGGGTCGCCTATCCCAAGACTACCCTAAACCCTAAACCGAAAACCGAAAACCCTCAACCCAGCATTGTCTCACCGACCCGGACCTTCCCGTTTGTTTTAACTTGTCTTAGCCGTCGGGTGTAGCTCTTGAAAATACCACAAGGTGTCCCTTCACCAGACACACCCTTCTCCGTATCCATTATAGTTTCTAAACCCTACCATTGGCTAAACCCTAAGCCCGAAACCCCTAAACCCTAAACGGTCAGGAGTCCAGGCACCACTCTTTGATGAATGAACGTGGTGCTCGCAGGTTTGCAGTCTGCCAGGTGTCTTCGTAAGCAAAGTATACGGTGGTCGAATAACCAGTGCTGGTGTCCCCTAAAAGTCCGTATACCCGTATGGTTTTCGTATAATGTATCCCAAAACCCTCTAAACACGAGGCCCTAAACCCTAAAACCAAAAACCCTAGTGTAATTTTTTAGGCCCCCTTGTTCATAGCAAGCATCACTGAGCCTGTGATCTTGAGATGTGGCGTTGGCGCCCTCGGTAGCTAATGGGCTTAGAGGTTAGGGTTATGGAAGTCATCCGCCCAATGTTTCGAAGATGTTTCGATTGTGCCCTTACCCAGCCGGATCCTTCTGCAGGCGCGCATTGCGCAAGTCAAGCGCCTTGCATGACATTGAGGGGTGCTGACTCAAGGGCCCGAATAACTACGTAGTAATGTCGTTCTCCCATAACCCTTAATGTTTCTGTAATTCTACTACAGTATGCAGTATAATGTCCCCCCAAGCCCTCTACACCCTAGCTCCTAGTCCATTTAGCTAGGCCCAATGTATGTACCACCGCCTCAAACATGTTGATCACGGTTCTTAGGGAGGGAGGGCTCCAGTTCATAACGATGATCCTGGTTGTGAATGAGCCCCACGCTCTCCGAACCTCAAGTCCGGACAGAGCGCTTGGCAAAAACCTAAAGCAAAGACTGTTTAGGGTTTTGAACTGAGTTCTTCGCGAAGTGCTGCCTAAAATCCCCAAACTAACAGATGTACGTCTGAGAAGATAAGCCCTACATCCCAAACCCAACGCTCTAACCGCCAGTCATGCCTCGGCAGCAATCCTTTCACGGGTGTTAATTGTGGCGAGACTAGTGCAAGCAAAGATGTTGTAACCTACACTCTGGACCTATGCCCTAAACTTTAAAGCATGGAATCCCAGTGTTTTGACGCCTAATCCCTACACCCTTCTGCATCTTTCGTGCATTTGTGGAACCTCGAGTTTGGTTCGGGGTTTGAGGCAATTTAGAGGGTCTAGGTTTGAGGGCTGAGCGGAGTTTTGAGTCTACTTTGTTTAGGGTTGAGGGCTTAGGGGTTGAGGAATGAAAGGACCTGGCCTCAGGTTTTATGGCTTCAAAAGTCCCTAGAGATTTCACTTCAACTCCGCCAGAAAGCTCGAAAGAGGTGAGTTCCTGTGCTTCATAACCCTGAGACTGAAATCTTGCATTCCACGCCCTCAATAATTAAACAGCCTAGTTCCTTGGTTTTGTAGCATGCGCAACAAAATGGGGAACGAACACGCTAAACCCTACAACCTGAACCCTTCACTGGTACTTTGAGGGGAGGGAAGGCTCAGCTGCATAGCACCTCGACCCCAAACCCCAATTTAGCGGCTCCCCTGTGCGATGTGGCTGCATTCCCGTCTTCACGGCTTAGATGACATTCTACAACGACGAAGCCGCCCATTAGTGCTTATCACATCCGGGTTCGAACTTTCGCCTAAACCCTAAACCCTAAACCCCTAAACCCCTAAACCCTAAACCCTAAACCCTAAACCCTAAACCCTAAACTCTAAAAATCCGAAAGCCCTTACCAAGGCCGGTCCCTGCGACAGTCCAGCTTCTCGAGAAGCAGTGACTCGGCAGCAAGGTGGGGTTGCCTCGGCCAGAATTTCACGATGATATCTGTGGTGTTTTTCATTCATAGGGTTGTTCCGGCTTTGTGGAGATGTTTACAACGGCTTGGAGGGTTTGGTCTTGTCTGGGGTTTCTGGCCGACGCCGTGGCTCCAGTTACCTGGTATCTTGGCCGGTATACCCGACAAAAACGGAGGGGTCCGCACCTCTCACTTTTTTTTTTGCATGTTTTGAGGCTGCCTCCCGGTAGATTTGGGGTGCAGAGTTTGAGCCAGGTGTTACTTGTAGTGTTATGTGCTCGCTTTTGCCGAGTCCTTCAAGGGTTCGGGGTTTCAAGTTAAAATTTGGGACTAACTTACAACTGGGAGTTTCCGAATATAGGGGACCCTAGTATGGTATCCTAAATAGTAGGATCCTTGTTATAAGGACCCCACAATAAGGTACCCCTTTTTCCGGAAGTTCCCAACTGGCAAGATGCTTGAACTCTTAAGCCCCTGGGCCTGTAGCCGAGAAGACCTACCTGTTTAGGGTTCCTTATTATGGTTTCTTTTTATAGTTCCTTAAAATCTTTTCGGCTACAAGCCCCTTGCTAAACAGTGCAGCCTAAACCCAGCACTAGACAGCACACCATTAGATCTTCGAGCTGTGCCCTCGCCTGCTCTTCCGAAACCAAGAACGACCCTAAACGAATGCCTCACATCAAAAACTGCGAAACCCCGAAGGAAGTCTGAACGACACCTTAAACCCAAAGAGCCCCTAAACCCCCCAAAGCCTAAACCCTTAAGCCCTAAAGGAGCCCGCAATTGAGACCCCTTCCATCTCCAAGAGTGCTTAAAGGATCATGGGACTTAGTAACTGGGGTTATAAACAAGGTAACTATGCTC